TAGATGTGCTAATATTAGTTCCAGTCCAATTACTTACTGCTACTACTATTCTACTACTACTTCTACTACTACTGCTGCTATCACAGCTACATCACTACTACTACCAAGAATAAGTTATTAAGAGTAGTACTTGTGTTATAATTGTTGTATCCACAAAAATGTGCAAAAAAGACAATGATGATCCACTAATAACCACATGAATAAATAAAGAAGCAAAATCAAATGATCCATAATTGGGAGAAAAAATAGAAGAAAAAAATCCTTATGCACCATTGATGTATAAAAAAGAAACATTCCTTTTATAAGAAAATTAGTTCATTAAAGACAGATAAAAAAAGTGTATGGCCAACTCCTATATAAATAGATAGGAAAAATATGTTCACATATATATACTTGTATTCATACATAAATATATCTCCATGTACATGAATGCATATTCACTTTCAACACTTCCAAGTGGGCCGCCAACGCCAGTTAAGGAGTTTCAGGTCTTTCTGGATGGCAGCCCAAAACCAATTATCCGGGAAACATGTGCACACAGATTTATCTTGTTTATTTAAAATGATGAATCAATAAAGAACAATGTAAACAGTAACAACAATAATGAAAAAATAACAAATCTATAAACAATAATAATAACAGTAATAACATAATGAAAAAAATATATAATAAAAATAATGATAAATAACAATAACAATCATAACAAAAATGATAAAAATAATATAAAAGTAATGTTAATGATAATGATAAAAATAATAATAATATTGAAGATGATAACAAGAATAAATTAGACTAACATCAACAAACTAAACCTTCAACTCACAAGGCTTTTCCTGTGTGGGTGATTTCTCCCTCCCAGTCCAGTAGTTGAAGACCCCACTCAGTCGGCCCTTTAGTGATACCATCTTGCTGGTCAGGTTTGCTGCCGAGGTGCCTCCCGCTCCCCGTTGAACTCCGGGGGTGACATGATGGAGCCACGGAGGTAACTGACGTGAGACTCGAGTTGCTACTCCGTCTCTCACTCAGGTCATCTGAGGGCGATGCTGAGAGGGGCAGAGAAGGGTTACACTGTTGTTGTTTTGTTGTCTGGTGCTCGTTCCTTTTGCAAATCTTTATTTCATCTCCATTACATAATCTAACTGACCCTAAAGACTAAACTGAAACACTATGATAGAAAACTTTTTCCCCTTTCCAAGACTACTGTAAAAATGCACCTCTCATGGAATACAATTCCCACATTCTGATATGAGCCCTGATTCATATCTATATTAGCTAAATGGGACTGTATTCATGAATCCCAATGTTCTTATGGAAACCCAAGATATGAATGTAGCAAACTGGGACGAAACGCAACTCTGCTATTGTAACAATTTAAAAACTAGAGAAGAATAAAGATGATACTAGTGAAAAGTTTAGAGCAGCATTTTGGTATATGAAATGTATATTGTTCAGCCCATGAACTGTTGCTGAGCACAGCAGACATCCACATAACTTTCTTGCATTTTCACATGAATAAATATAATATTTCTTGCTTTCATTTGCTTGTCATACAAAAGGCAAACATTTATTTCCAGGGTTAGGTGCACAAAAATGTTGGTAACAATATTTAAATGCAATATAATCAATTATAATCACACAATTCAAAACAAAACTGGAAAAACAATATATCCCAAAACAATATAACAAATCCAGCTCATAATACTGCCAATGACCTGGGAACAGTGACATGTATAAACACTATGTATTAAATATCTTGGCTGTAATAGAGGATCAATCTATGTGTTAACATACCAACAGCATCTGGAGGGGACCCCATGAGGTTCAGGCTCTCTTCGTTGGTGACGTTAATAATCTTGGTGGGTTCGGTTCCATCTTCCAGATCAGACACCTCCATCTTCTCTAAGTTTTTGTTACTTCCTTTCTTCTCCCCAAGGACTCGGCCTCCTGAGAGAATGCCTCAAGTTAATCTGGTTCTTGACACTACTACCTCTAAACTCATACACTAAAAGCTCTAACTTGAGGCTACATTTATCTTCAAAACAAGCTCCTCCTTCCTCTTTTCTCTTTAACTAACTGCAATGGCCTCAATCTAAATAACATTTTCAGCAGTTCTGAATATTCCTTTTCATGGCACATGTGCATACACATAGTTCACAATTAGACAAATCATTTTACAATAGTCTGTATGAGAAATGGCATTTCTATTTGAAGTTCATTTTATTCCTGGCAGTGTCCTTTCACCAAGTCATAGTACCAATAACAACTTCTTTATTTTCCTGATAAACAAAAACAAACACCTCTTGACTGAACAACTATTAGGCAGCTTCTGTTGTCATATCATACTTAACCCCTTTTGACATTTACTAGAAACTGAACTTGATGAGAGATATTATTAGATTTTATCAATAAATATATACATAGATGGACAGACAGATGGACAGACAGATAGATAGATATATAGATATAGATATAAGTATAATTTAGAAATAAATATTGATATATAGATATGGACACCTCTGTAAAGTGACACTGCCTGAGAGGGTCAGGTATGATTGACAAGACCGATGTTGCTCATTTTGAGTCATGAAATCATTAGTAACGAAGCATTTATGGTACTGCTTTTCTCCAACATTTTCAGCTATATTGATGAAGATTGGTAACATAATATTGCTGTCATTTTACAAGAAAAGCTCTGTGTAGTGCACAGCTATGTCAATCCAAGAGGAATTCTAGGTTTTGTAAAAAGAATTGCACTGTAAACAACATCCATGTTATTATGAATCTAACAACATCTGCATGTCAAATTATACCCATATCACTAAAGGGGTTACACAACTACCTCTTTGCTTTCCTGACTACTTACCGCTGCCATCTCTGCGACTTGCATGCACACCTCTCCACTGTGTGCCGAGGCGTTGTCCAGGGCGTCCCAACCAATTCTGACTCTCCTGGTTCGCTCATTGCTGTTTACAAAAATAATTTCAACTGTAGCTTAATATCCTTTGTCATATCTCTTAAATAATGGATCAGCTGTTTTTTGTGAAATATATCAGAATAAAAGGTGAATAAAAAGAAATGGTGTTCAAAAATTTAGTCAAACACTTGTTTACACACTCTTACATGCAATAAAAGATGGCTAAATATATGCATACACACACACAGTCAAACTCACGAACATGCACACACACACACAGTCACAACACACCACGCAAGCACACACACACACACACACACGACGCACGCACCCATCCACCCACACACACACACACACAGTGTTCATAATCAAATACATGAATATAATAACCCCAAGCAGGTACATAATGCACAAAAATACCAAGGATTAAAGAAAACTCGAACAAAGACAATCAGTAAACAACCCACACCTCTACAGGTTAATAATGGTAGTCAAGTAACTTATACACACTAAACATGATGGTATATGTAATACCATACACAGGTTATCTATTCCCTTTAATAACAATATATACAGAAATAAGTGTACATAATACAGGAGAATCAAATCAACTGGAAGCAGGATCCCCTTCTTATCACTTCCATGTATAAAACATATTATCCTTTCTGCTACTGGATTTAGTGTCCTGCTGCCTTCCATGAGGATCAAACCACTACATATAGCCTTTAACATTTGAGGAGACTCTATACAGTTGCTGATGCTGTAAGGACAGCAAGGATTGCAAGGGTTATAATAATGAGAAACATTTACTGGTCTTTGACACATAACAGTACAAGTTATATTTGAATGATTAGTTATGGAGAGTAATACATGACACAATGGTTATTATAAATGCCTGAGAGGATTTGCCTAGGACTTGTTTCATGAATGTTCTGATCGCATCAAAGCATCTTTTAAAGTGATACCTCAACAGCTACGAAATTCCCACATTATAGAAGTGAATAGTCAATGCTATTTGTAACCTGTATGGGACTGTAAACATTAAATCATCCACTACGAAAATTCTGAAACAAAGGACACATCAATCCTCCTCCTTTTATCAATGTCATATCTGTAACTTACACATGATGATAAATACTCATATCAGATTCATTAGAAATGTGTAATACATGAAAAGATTCCTACTAGTCAATTCAATACATTTAGCCTGCATACATCCCACATCACGAGTAATATACACACTCTACTCCCATGTTTCCCCTTCATAGATACACAGATCTACTGGCTATAACAAATGGTCATACTTACAGTTTAATAAAGACAAATCACTGACAGATAACATAAACAACATTCAATAACTGTACTTAAAGCAACAGGTTCTCTATTCTATGGTACAAAGTCCTCCTCTCATCAATGTCAAAATTTACCCGAAGAATTTGTCCAAGTATATCTATGAGAAATTAAATTTACGAACACTAAAAGGTGAATCTCTCCTGGAACGCTCATATCCCTCTAAGATCAAGAGGGGAGGGAGTACCTACTCTGAGAACCACTGTGGGAGCCATCAAAGAATGTCAATAAACGTCATACCTGTAATACATTATTTGAAACTAATTTCGTTGGACATCTCTTCTTTCTTTTTTTTCTGTTTTCTGTCCATCTATCTGTCGGCATGTCAGTCATTCAATTAATCAATGATGGTAAAGACTACCATATTCAAACGAGTGTTTTTCAAGCAAACATTTACAAAATATTTACAAAAATATGAATTACATACAAATTTCCTGACTGAGAATTGAGTAAATATTAATAAAAAGAATAAAACTATATTTCTTGAAGATGGATAGAATCCACTGCTACCAGTTCAAAGCCTTTAACAGGTTTCAATAGTAACAACTGAATTTTTCAATGGACAAAGCAAGCACAGGAAAACATCAGTTTAAACTAAAAAGGGAAAATTAAGGGAATCAGGATTTTTTTTTTTAAATGCTACACATAGAATTCACTTATATATTTCACATGGAGATGTAAAAAAAACTTATTGTGACAGACTATGAAAAATCAATATCATACACAGTGGGAGACTCCTGTCTAAACCACTGGAGACAAGTGACTAGCTATCAGTTTGCTGCAAATAATTCACAGATTCTGGTAGATGCCTCACACCATGTTCCAAATCTATATCAGAATCACTGGGATAAGTTCTTACACACCCTATCATGAGGAAGACGATATCTCAGACACAGAGCAGCACAAAGCAGCACATGCTCATCCTCACCTGACTTCGCTGAAATGATCCCTATCGATTACCATATTCATAATCAACCAGTTATATCTGACTCGTGTGAAGACTTTCTTTTCTGGCCTTATCAAAATTCTAATTAACTGAATATATATAAAAAAAATCAACAGAAGATTCAAAAAAGGACAGTAGACATTATTCTATGTAATCAAAAATTCTTTTACAACTCTAGTTATATTTGCTCTACTTTCTGTCTTTTAAAAAATATGATAAACCACTGAAAATAAATATACCAAGACTGCATATCTAAAACTATTGGGAATTGGTGATGCTACATCGCATGACAAATAATAAGACAACAGGTGATGTCTCATAATGGGTTTATATATCTTTCATTACCACAAAATATCCTCATAATTTGTGCAGTCCTGAACACTGAATGACTGGCTGATAGGAAAGTTTTTTCAAAACTATTTTAAAAAGAGTAAGTTTCCTATCATTTTCATTGGTACCTCAACAAAAAGAGCAAGGATTCAGCTATAAACTTCATCTAAAGCTATTTATCCATAACACCAATAATTCATGTGGATAGTAAATTCAGGAACTTGTTTACTTTTCTTTCCCTTTTTCCATTCACTAATGCTAGCTTCTTAACATGTTTTAGTAAATACTCATGATTCAAGGCTGTGAATCTAACAAAACAAGAGAGGTTCAACACACACAGAATCAGCATCACTGAAAATGGATAACATATGTGATGAGATATGTGGAAAATTCAGCTGCTAGTGCTCATGATAAATTCTGTGATATTGTGGAATGTGAAGCAGTTTGCAATATGTCATAAAGCATGAGCACAATCTGAAAATAGTGTTAAATAGAGTAAAAAAAGACCATACCAGTGTTAGTGACCAATTATACAGTGTTATGTGAACTAAGAGAAAGGCATGAACCACCACTGTTAAAGGAAGACTGAGCTAAAAGCCTTGACATAATACCACAGCTTGCCAACTCTACAGCTACCAACCCCATGTAACTCTACACCTCCTCAATATCACACTGTTAAATACCACATAACCACAATTATTAATACTGTGTTAGAAAAAAAAGAGAGAATAAAGAAAGCAGGCTAACTGCTGCAACTGTTTTAGCTCCACTGTGCACAACTCAGTACATAGTCCCGCTCTCACACTGATGAAGCATGTTACAGATGTATATATATTTTTTTAGTCTCGAACGGTAACCACATCACAGACAAAAAGGGGCAGAGCTTAATTCCATGCATCCAAGGGCCAGGGCGAAATTTGGCGACTCTGCTTTGCTTTACCTGGAGACCCGAGCAGCCAGGGCGTCCTCTGCATAACACACTTCCATATAATCAGCTTCATTGGGACTGGGTTGCAGGGTGGCAAGGCCAAGCAGCCCTCGAGACCTGGCAGTGCCATCAATCATGTGTAGGAAAAATCAGGGCATGCCTAAGAGCCATCTCTTTTCTTTTTCATCTATGACAACTGAGACTTATAATCATAGGTTGCACGATCATCAGAACCAAAGGCTAATCTGGTTTTGCATTCATCGCTGCAATCATGATTTAATTGATTTTTACTTCAAAATATAAAATAACTTAAAGATGCCAATTCTATATTCATTTTTTAAAATGAAACAAAGCAAATAATATTGAAAACAAAGTATAATTTACTAAGATAAACTTATATAGAAAAGAAAAAATCAAATTACTTGGCAATTTATTAACACACAACTGACCTGGGAACCCGACAAAGCACCACTTAAACTTCCTCCTCTATCAAAATCTCATTACTCAGGCATAAGAAACTTTCCCTCTAATGATGGGATGAGAACAGAGAAAACCTTAATTTCTCAACCCTAACACCTAGATGAAACCAGAGAAGCACCCAAATGAACCGAGAGAATCGAAGTGAACCCAACTGAACTCCATTTAAACCCAACAAAACCCCTGGAGAACATACTATAAACAACTCACCTGAGGGAAGCCGCATGTGCCAAGCCATTCGGGAAGTTCTCTGGGAAGAGGGCCAGGAGGGAAGTGATAGTGCGCACTAGGGGGCCGACAGGGCTGTGGTAGAAGAGCACGCGACGCTCCAGCAGGATCAGCTTAAACAGGACCAGGATGTTGCGGCCAAAGATTCTTACCGCATCAGACACGAACACCCCTGCCAAGGATAGTAGGGGATGGCGTGCAATGTGGTTTCTGTTTTTTTGAAAACTTGTGCAATAGAAAACAGACATTCTTAGTTTAGAGACATAAAATCATAGAAAGAGGAAGAAGATGAGGAAGAAGACAAGGAGAAAGAGAAAGATATATAGTAGCTGTTGTTAGTTGAAAGGAGGAAGAAAGAGATAAAGTAAGAAAAAAGTAGAACTCACTGAAGTTGCTAGTAATCCATACATTTTATGTAACAAACAAGGGTGTCCTTGGTAGTGAGAAAAAGAGTAGAAGCAGGAGAAGAAGCAGGAAGGAGATGAAAAAGAAGAAGTAGGGTGAGAGGAGCAACAAGTGGAGAAGCAACATAAACCATAGGAGAGGGAGGAGCTAGAGGTGGGAGAGCAACAGAAGGAGGAGAGGAAAGAGAGACAGAAGCACAAGCAGTATGGGCAGGGGTAGGAGAAACAAGAAAAGGAGGAGCCTAAGAAGGAGAAGGAGGGGATGGAGCAGTAGAAAGAGAAGGAGGGGGAAGAGCAAGGGATGGTGGAGGAGGAGGAACAGTAGGAGGGGAAGGAACAGAAGAAGGAGGAAGTGGAAAAAGAGGGATTGGGTGCACTCAGGGGCAGTTGGATTATAATCTACTTAGTAGTAAAAGAAATAGGAAGATGAATGGAAAAAAAAGATGAGAAGGGAGGAACAAAGGATGAAAAAGAGGAAAGGTAACTGGAGAAGAAAGAAAAAAGAAAGATATAAAAAGAAAGATTGAATGATAAATAAAATTGAGTCATAAGAAAGAAAACAAATGTAAAAGAAATAGGAGAAAAGAAGAAAACACTGAAAGAAAGGATCAATGAAAGGAAAAATAAGAAAGGAAGGAAAACATTAACAAAAAAGAAAAAATAACAGGAGACAATAGAATGAAAGAAATAAAGAAAAGAAATCAAGTAAAAATTGAAATGTATGCTCATGTGAGTATGCATATGGTTATAGTGTCTCCCTATACAGATTACTATGATACAACTAATCATTCTATTAAAATGCAAACTCATAGTAAAGGAAAGTTATTATTTCCTTTAACTTACAGTGCTACAAGCAACTAGACCAAGCCAAGTGACAACAAGAATCACATTCACATTTCAAAGACAGCTCTTAGGATTCCTTCTCTCTCTCTCTCTCTCTCTCTCTCTCT